AAGATGATCTCACATCTAGTAGGGAGGGACAGAGAGTTGGACATGTTAGGAGACAAAGGAAACATCTCCTCTGCCACACTCTGAAATTCATTTGCAGATTTCCCTAAGCAGTGCTGCTTCTTGTTTGTCATGGGATGCTGGGAAAGAGATACATGTAGCCTGTTCTTTAAACTCACCTTTATAACGCAGAATCAGTCATGGTCATAATACTACTATGCTGGCTGATATCTCTATATCAACAGATCCGTAGTTCATTCTCCAAGCCATAGATTTTTGCCTTCAAGTTTCTTAGTTCTCCTTGAATTTTGCGAGTTCGCCTGTTGCCTTGGCGTACCTCATGCAGAATAGCAAGGTCTTGGTCTGGTCCAATATTCATGGTCACCTAGAGAGAAGGGGGGGGCAGATGAAAATACAGCTAGGAAAATTCTTTCTTGGAGTGTGATCTGGGGAGGATTATAAAGCAAACATTCCAGCCATGGCAAGAAAGCACTCAAACCGGCATAGCTAACTGCACTGATAGAAACAAAAGGAGGCGTACCAGGACAGAGAACTGAGAACAAAAGCATTTCTTTAGCATCAGAGAGCAATACAACACCAATTGAGTGAAAGAAGAGTTCACAGAGTATACCCTGTAATGCATCAGTAAACAGGTGGCTTGTTTAAACAAGCCATAGCCAGGATTTATTTTATTTTATTTCACAGGGACTCAAATACAATGCGACTCATTCAACCACAGTGTGATTCTCACTCGTATATAAAAAACAGGTTTTTATACTGTGTTTATATCTAAATTATAATTATCAGGACAGATGCTTTACTGCTGGTGCTGGAAAATCGTAACTTGAAAACTGCACTAGTATTTTTGATTTTGAATGACAATGGTTCAAGATTATACTAGCTGTATCTCCAACTTGTATTTTAAACTGTATTTCTGTGCCCTCTTGTGGTCAAGTCTGTCCAGAGACTAGGACAATACAATTAAGCCTCCACCTGCCCAAAACAGTTATAAACATGCTAATATTACAAAAGCCTAAATCTGTCCGTCTGTCCCTAATGCTTTATTTGCACTCTGACTGGCTGACAAACAGCCACCCGGCCCAACATGGCCATGGCAGAGGCTGGGGGAGGGAAGGAGCAGACCTCCTCCTCCCCAGGGCCCGCTCCTCCCCCACAGTGGCCGGAAGCCTGCTCCTCCTATCCCCAAGCTGGTCCAACACATGGGGGGAGAAGCGGGAGCACTGTGGTGTCGGCGGGGCCAGGGGGGACTGGGCCTGAGCCCGATGCGGGGTTGGGGAGCAAGCTCAAGCTGGTGAAAAGCTGGCCCAATGTGGTGGGGTGGGGGAAGTGGGCCCAGCCCAACAAGGCAGCTGCAGGGGGAGGGGAGGGGGCTCGCTTCACATCAGGCCCTGGCCTACTCCCCCGCCGCAGCAGGGAGTGGGGGGAGCAGACCCAGACCCCAAGCAGCTGGAGGGAAGGGGAGCATGCCCTGACTGGGGGGGGGAAGGGGGGGAGGGAAGGCGGAGCACCATCCCCACCCGCTCCCCTCCCCCCATCATTCTTGATGGGCAGTTGGCTAGTTTGAATAATAATCTACTTTTGCAAGTTAACCATTATTTTCCTTGTTTTTAACATTTGAGTAACCTGCATGTGTTAATCCACAATGTCAGACTGTACATTCTGTGAAAGACTACCTATGCTGACTTCTGTATTAAGACCTAACTCAACACACCAATAGCCCAAACTTGTTCATACTGAAGTTTTGGCATTTAAGGCTAAAAATAACGATTAGATAATCTAGTCTGAACTTTTTTGTGTCACAGGTAATTAGTTTTCATCCAACTACCCCTATCTGGATTAATCAAGTCCAAAGACTTTCATTAATCCAAATCATTCTAGTCCTCAAGGGACTGAACTGTGTACCACAGGACAGGAGAAGCTAAGGCATCACTATAGCACCTGATGCTCCTACAATGGCAAGGAATTAAGATACACTTCAGTGTTACCAGCAGACCAACCATATCCCATGCTGCAGAAGGAAACAAAAAGAAACCCCAAAACAAATCCTGAAGCGCCTGATAAATCTAATCTTGGGAAAAAAGTCTTTCCAATCTCAAATCTGGTGATCTGCAGAACCCCAAGCAAGTACATCAAGCATCAGACCAACTTCTAGAAAAACTGGTTCATACCACCTTAGAGCACTGATCTATGGAGTCTGGTGACCAAGCCCAACTGTGGCCAATCACAGGTATTTCTGGAAGGGAAAACCCCAAAACCCAGAATATGTTTATCTAATCCTGTCTCAGTGAAGAGTGGGGTGGGATTAGTCTTCCTAACCTCTGCTGGTGAAAGGCTGAAGCAAGAGACTGCTCAGATCTCTTGCTTCAGCTTTTCACCACCAGAGGTTAGGCAACCTGTTTTTTTCTGATAAAAATATCCCAAATGCACTGATAAAAAAAAATCTGCATTTTTCCATTATTAAAATAAAGCACCTCTGGCCCTAGCCGTGCTATTGTCCCTCACTCCCAACCCAGAGCTCCCTGGCCCCAGCCCCCCATTATGCTAGGAAGGGGATGGGTGTATGAGGAACAGGGTGGGTTAAGTCTACCCCATAGACTTACCTGCAAGGAGCTGCAGAAGCAGTTCACCACCACCCTCCCTGGCTGCCACGTGCATGTACAGATGCATGTGGTACCCCTTGCACCCACTCCCCCCCAGCCCCAAGGAGCTCTGCCAGGCTGCAAGGGGAAACCCACTGTTTCCTAGGTTTTTCATCCTGTAAAGTAGAACATCTGTGTTTTTCTCCTTTAAAGGAGAAAATCCATGTTTTCCCATAGCAAATGGAAAACATGATTCCTGGTTATTCCCTTAATATAGAGCTACAAGTGTTATGAGGCATACAGGCTACCCTGTCTTCCTCAAATGCCTTTGAAAAAGGGGATGAAGTAAGGGACCCAGATTCACAAATTCCTAAGCCAGAAGGCACTACCAAAACTAGCCCATCCCACTTAAACAGACAACAAAAGTTCTCTCAGATGTTGGATTTAAGCATGTCTTTTAAAACAAAAAGCTCTTTCATTTTAACAACTCCAAACAATGATTAATCTATTGACCTCCCTTGTTGAATTGTTCTGATGTATAATTAGTCTCACAGCTGGAAAATTATATCTGAATTTTAAAAAAGTAATGAATTTATCTTCAACTTCCAGCCACCGGAGATTTTTAGGCCTTCCTGACCACAGACAAAAAGCCCTCCACTATCAGACATATTTTGCAAGGGTAAGCATCTATACAGTGTAACCCAGTCCCCTTTCAGCTTTTCTTCAGTTGATGGCTAAGCTTTCATTGAACTGAGTTGGAACAAGATCAGTTCCCAGAACTGTTAGGAAAAAAAAAAAAAAAAATCAAACATTTTTGCCACATTACACACACAAGGGGTGGCAGCTGATATTCAGCTGCCTAACAGCCATATTAGGAGAATCAGCTTGGAAATATCAGATGAAAAGTGTAAGAGAAACATAACTGGGTGCATTAATTACATCAGCTATATAATCATAAGTCCCTAACAATATGGATGCCTAATAAGAGACAGAGTGAGTGTGCGTTACAAATTGTAACACTCCACACCAAAAGATAATGGACATCATAAGTTTCTAAAGACTCAATTTAGGAAAAATAGGAATTCCCAACACACTTAGAAACTCAGCCCACACTAGTGTGGGCTAACTACATCTCAGTCCTCTCCCTAACCACAATCAAAGATTACCTTAAAGAGCTGTTTCTCTACATCCTTCAACCTCTGCCGAAGCTGCTTAATGTCATTCTTGAAGCCTTCTACTTCCATGCTACGCCGTTTTTCCAGGGCCTCATATCGTTGCGTCATCAGCTGCAAACGCTTCCCCATCTTTTCTGAGCGTTCCTGGGGGGGGGGGGGGGG